GGGAAAGGGCTGACATTTTTTATTTGTGTTTTGTTTGTTTTTAAAGCATTTTTGTGCAATGGAAAGTTTCACAAGCACTTGCAAGAAATTTTTGTTCCCATGGTCATCCGCTACATCGATCTCATGGAATCATCAATTGCCCAGTCCATTCACAGAGGTCTTGAACAAGAGTCATGGCAACCTGTCAAGTAAGTGCTTTCTACAAGATCTCAACAAAGCACCTGCCTATAGCTTTCTGTCTAATCAGACGTTCTCCCCCGTTGTCCTCTAAATATTCTATTTTTTATTGTATTCCTACATTGTTTATTTCTTCACAGGAGCATCACCAACAGTCTTCCTAATGTAGCTCTTCCAAAAGTTCCAAGTTTGCCTCTTAATCTTCCACAAATACCTAGCTTTACTACACCAACCTGGATGACTTCTTTGTATGACTCCACGTGTGTATTCTTCAATAACCTTCTGACTGTATGTCAGCTCTGCATGGCCTTGCTAGTGTTCTGTGCAGCTGTATTTGGATTGCATGGTGTTTATGATCTCTTAGTGGGAAATTACTGTTTCTTGGGAGTGAGCCAAGCATGGACTGTTAGTGAGTTGCGCTTTCTAGTGCATTAAAATGTAGCAGTCTTAAACCTGATAACTTACAAAATCAACTTGGCAAAGGTCTGTCATAGTATGAATGGTGTTTAATACCGTAAACAACCTAATGGTTCTTCTGAATTAATAAGCAGTGGGGAATCTTTTGGATAATTGATTTTAGATCGTGGTTTTGTAAAGTGAGGCAGCCCATCATACTTTTGCATGGGTTTGATTGTCTATAGATACTGGTTCTGAAAATCATTGATTGCAAATATTGTCATTGGATTAAATATCCATATTTCAGGGAAATAGTAAAAAGTTAATAAGTACCCAGAATAGAAGTACATCCATTTCTTTGTCTGTTTAAAAAAATACGTATTTGTTTTTGATTTCTCCCCAACACTTCAGTGCTCTTTTCCTTTAAAAAAGAAAAAAAAAGTAAAAAATAGAGCAGGCATGCCCTGTTCTGTGGGAATATTCCCATAGTTACAGGCCAGATTTCTATGTGAGGACACATTCATATACATTAGAGAAAGGCTCAAGAAGAACCTTATTTTAGCTAAAGTTGTATTAGGAAAGGATGAATGTGAAAGACTTCAAAAACCATACATTCAAGACACAAAGCTTGATAATATGATTTCAAGCCAAGTATTGCCTTCTCAAGTTTTATGACAGAGTTAAACGCTCCTAACAAGCACTCAGATCCATTACTGCAAGAGTTGACAGTTTGTGCTCTGCCAGACTTCTGGCACTTGTCTGTTGAGTATTATGGTTGTTGTTCTGCTGCTAATTCCCCTAAAAGTTGACAAAATTCCTCTTAATCCTTGGCTTTGGTACCTTTTGTGTTTACTATAATAATGCTAGGTTTTGCCTGATGTGCTTATGCAAGTCATTTCAGCTTTGAATCAAACTAATTGGTCTTCTGCTACTCAATTCCTTTCTGTTATTCCCATCCTTTCAGGGGTTACTTTTTTTTTTTAAAGAACAGCTTTCAGAGTTAAGAGTTGTTAAAATCTTAGATGTGGTCTTCTTACTGTCTGTATTCTAGCAGACCCATCCAGTAAAAATAACTTGTACGTATTAAAATTCATGTATTTTGAGTATTGAATTTATAATTAATATGTATTAAATATGGATTCTGGTTGGAGGATTATAATGGTAGGTCTTTCCTAAATGAAGGTTTTGGTGTAGCAAGAAATACCTAGACTGTATTGTCAAAAAATGTGCGAGTATAGTGAAATTCAACCATAGGCTCATCCCCCTTGCACATCTTCTGGTATTAAAGTTCATGGTGTGTATGGCAAAGTATGCGTAACATCCTAAACTAATCAATGAGGTTTTCAAAGTGAACCTGAGGTGAACCCTGAGGCTGACATATTCTGTAAGCACTTGCCAGCAGTAGCTGTTGCTCTGCTGCTTCTCAAGAGAAGTGGGGACGAGCAGTGTCCCCACTGCGTTGTGACCTCTGTAAGGCCGTCATCCCCTTTCAGCCACCCCGCACAGCATTCGAGAAGAGGTCTGCCAAGGTGCTGGTTCCGTTGTAGGCACCTCTTCATGTTCTTTTTCCCCAAGCGTAGAGCTTTGAGGTTGTATTTTATGAAATGTGTATAAATTAACATTCGAGATTGCAGGTAGTATTGTTACCTTTGTAATACCATGGAATTCGGGTAGTATTTTAAGAATCAGCCTACCTGTGTCCTACTGAAGAGCCAAGTAACTTCTCAGAATGGCCATGTATTGTATTTGGATCAAAAAATAAAAGTGAAGGCACTGCAAGCCAGTTATTCCTCCTCCCAAGCTAATGAGTTTTTTCTTTCCTGCTGGTTATGGTGTCTCAGCTTCCAGTGGAGGAAGTGGTTTACTTTCACTATTACATGAAAGAAAGAAGGAGGGTTTTATTTCCCCCACTGCTCCCATCCCATCCTTTTCAGGAAGAACAAAGCTTCCTCTTTCTAGTGAAATTCTTCAGTGGAGAATACCTAGGCTCTAATATCCGTTAAGCAAAACCCGGTGTTTCCTGTCGGTTTTCCCTTTCGATGTGATGAACACCCACCTTAAATGGACTAGAGTGGCATATTGTATTGTACATAGAGTCCGCGGAGGCACCTAAATTCAGGAGCCCAGGCCCTGCTTTGTCAGACATCACACTGACTCCCCACTGACTCCCCCAAATCTTTCTCTCCCTGTCCACTGTGCTCCCTCCTCCCAGCCACACAGCTGATGCTTTGGCAAGAAGATGACTATGTATGTCACTAAGTTGTGCTGGACTTCTCTCTTTCTCTTTGAAAGGGATGATTTTGGCCATTTAATCATTATCAATTTGCATTACACAATGAAGAATCTACAGGCAAAAAGAATGAGAGAAAATAGTCTGTGAGCTGAGTTATAGTTAAATGCCAATTCCTGCGCTTATTTTGACTGCAATAGGAAGTTTTCGTATTCTCCAGACTTTACTAATGTTCATGTTCATGCTCTTATGTTCATGTTTAAGTCCATTCATATTCAATAGAGCTGTTACATGCCTACGTAAGAACTTTTGCTGAAGAGAAAGAGGCATTCACAGTTAGGCATTTCTTTGTGTGCTTTATTGATAAAAACAGATTTTCCTCTCTTTCACTTAAAAACTGCTGCAATTCTTTTGAACATTACTAGAGAAGATTGTTTATATTTTTTAATTAACTATTGCAGGTTTTTTTTTCTTGATCACATGTTTTGGAGCAGTAAATATATGCTGCTTATAACAGCACTTAGGAAGATCATTACCTCATTTTCAGTTGTTTTCGCTTAACCTTTTATTATTGGGCATTGGAAAGGGAGATATGAAAAGGGGAAAGTGTTATGAGTAGTAGTGTATTTTTCTTGATTGGTCTCAGGAGAGGACAACTCAGAGGACACCTTGGCTAGACATGCAGAGCACTGTGAATTACTGTTCCATTTGGCTGAAGACAACATCCTGAAAGAGCAAAAAAGTTTGAATATTCTGTAAAAGCTTCTAATCAGCCAGAATGAGGGGTTTTTTTCATTACTTATTCATTAATTCAAATGTACTACTTTAAATTGCATTTTTGTTCCATTTCATATTTTAAATTTAATTTCTATGCCTCTTCTGGACCTGGCTTTTAAGTTAGATTTGCGGGTGATTTTAGTTGTTTATGGTTTCATTTATATATTATTATTTTCAGTGCAGACATGAGATAGATGAAAAATACTGTAGATACAGACTTGAGGTTGTCTGTTGCTATCTAGTGCCGGTCTAGAACATCAGGTTCAGCAAAACTCAAGGCTGGGGAAACATGGAATAAGATACATGCTTGCAGGAGGATGCTCCTGTCTTGTCTTCCAGCCAGAACAGGCAACATCAAAGGAAATGTGTCAGCTATGTTCTTCCTGCTATGACTCAGCTGTAATGAGTGACAAGAGGGACTGGCTGGAGCAGTCGCAGTGCTCTGATTGTGATATGAAGGGATCTGGTCTGAAAGTGTCTGAGCTCCCGTGCTGGACCTCTCTGTGTGTTCACACATGCTGAAAAAGTCAGGAGGCCACCTTTCGGTGCTGTTTTGTTGGATTGCATCTGTAGTGCCACATATGTTCCTGCTGTAGTGCTTGCCTGCAGTAAAGCGGAAGGAGGCCATGGTTTGTGCTTTTAAGGATGGGTATTTAAAAGTATAGCCATAGGACTGATGGAATAGTGAAATTTAGCTGATCTACTTTCTGTAGAATAAGGAGTTTTTAATATAGCTAGTTCCTATTGAGCATTCTGGAAGACGAATGTGTGTTGTGGACCAAATTTCTTTTCTTCCAAAATACTAACATGCAGGAAGAAAGAAGAATCAAGAAACATGTTTTGGTTGCTTGATCCTTAGGTTGCCTCACTTTTGAACTAAGTAGGAGGAACCGTGAGGTAACTCTGTCCCTAATATCTTTGAGGGACTGTACACAAGCAGTTACCCTATATGCCAAAGTTCTGTTCCATCCTTCCCCCTCATCTGCTCATGGAAAACAGAGAGATGGGGCAAGTGCTGTTGACTCTGTAACTATTGAAAATCCTTTTCTGTTGAAGAAATTCTCAGTTGACTTTCTGAGCCCTGAATATATGTCTTGAGGCAGCATAAAGGAAGTAGAGCTGGAGCTTGCAAGCTAGGGGCTCACAAAGGACATAGAGCTGGTGCCCTGTTTTGTAACCAGTCCCCACAAAACACTAAGGGATAGTAAATCAGTAATAACCTTAAAAAAAAATAATTGCAGTAATTTATAAAATCACCATCATTGCGCTTGGTAAATTCTACAAGAACGGAAGCCAGCTGATTTTAAATCTTGCAGTTGATTGAGAATGTCCTTAGATACTTAATATTTCTCCTATATTTTTATATCCCAAGCTACCCTCTGGAGTTTGACAGCTAGGCAAGAAATGACATATGCTGTGTCTACTCTGGTGTCGTGTGTGTGCTGATCTTGCAGCCAGTGTGTTTTATTAGTGGACTGTTTGACTAATTGCTGCTGCTTAGATAGCTGGCAAGCCTAGCGGGAAGCTGTGTCTCTCAGCTGTCAGTGGATAAGTGAATTGCTTAGGAAACTGTATACAGCTCCTAAGTTTAATATTCTGCAGGGTCTTGGAGAAACATTGTAACTTGGACCTTTTTTTGTTGTGTTCAGTATGATGCAAGGCATAAAGCCATAAAATAATCTAAGTTAAAATGGATCTCTGGAGATATCTGGTCCAATCTCCCAGTCAAAGTGTGAACAAATACAAAGTTAAATTGCCATTAAAAAAAAAAAATTAGGATGGGCATAATATTTGCCTCTTTTAACCATTGGAAACCTTCTCTTACTGCCATGACCTGATTAAAGAGTGGACAACAGATAGTACCTTTTGCACAAAGGAACTAGTGCTGAAAGCTTAAGTTTTGACCAGCAAAACAGTGGAGTTTGTGCTTAATTTTAAAAATTTAGATAACTATATTGAATACAGTTTTTTATAAAAGAGTACCAGTTCAGTTTCCTGGTAGAGCAATATTATTCCATTCATTAGATTGAAGAAGCTTTACCATACATACTCGTATAAAAACTGTTCAGTAGCCAAGAACGTGTCCTGCCCCTTCACAAAAAAATGATTCTGCAATTATGTAGGTTGTAGATGTAGATTCAAATGCTGTGGTGGTTTGATTCGAATGCAGGAATTCCTCCTGCTGCCAGGAGGAGGTAAAAACTGAGTTTGGCTCTTCTTCATACTCTTATACTTTATGGAGTATTAAACCCTGAAGTGACATAACCAGCTTAAAGCAATCTATAGACTGTACAACCACTTCAGGGTATTGAAGTATATGCTGACAATCAATACCATTTCTAATGCTTTTACTGAGTAAGGGCCAGGAAAAATCCTAAAATCCAAATAAAACAAGTATCTGGGTACAAATAGCAGTAACAAGTTGATTGAAATCAGAGTTTTCTGCAGCATTTAACAAACAAATTAGACGTTTGTGTCTGGATGTGCGAACTAGGAAAAAATAGTTGCTGTTTTTAGCACTTTATTTCCCTTCCCCATCTTACTAGTATAATATGTTAGTCAAATTCAAATGTCATTGGACAATGCTGAATAAAAAATTGAAGAATGGGACCTCAAAATTATATGAAAAGAGAATGAATGAATTAGTGTTTCTCACAGAATGAATTAGTGTTTCATGAACCTGTGTCTATTATTACATTTATTATAATTGTGAAACTTTATTTGGTAGTATAATGAAACCAAATTAAGTGGCTACCAGGGAGTGAACGTGCATGAGAATACATTGATGTTATTGAGAGCACATTAGTCCTCCTGAGTCCTAAAGAATTTCATTTGGAATTCCATTAGGCAAAAAAGAAAAAACTATGGAAGAAAAAAATATGGTTAAATTGTATGATCTGATGATGAAAAATGCTAGTTCTGTTTCTTGAGAAAGTATGGTTTGTTTTCTAGAAAATACATGTGCTTATCAACTGTAATATGTATACTGAGATTGCCCCCGTTTCTGTCCCTATATAATTTGTCTTCTTCTTTTACCCCAGTCATCTCAAAAATTGACTAAGTCACTTTTGAATCAAATACTGTGTATAACATAGCATCTACAACTTCACTCACTGCTAGTGTACACAGGACATGTAGTGAATTCTTCAATATTTGGTTATCATGTAACTTAAGAAACGGTCCAACAGGATTATAAAGTTTCTAAGGAGTGTTGGTGGTTTGTTATTTCTATTTCTTAATTAAACTTAGCGGTGTATAAAAGTGCTCCCTACTCAGGTCCAATCTTAACAGGTAACATCCCTATGCAAGTTGTAATCTTAGCAGTCCCATGGGCATTTTTCCTGTTTCTGCTGTTTTCTTTCAGGAGCACGATACAATGCAAAATTAACAATTACTATTTAAAATAAGTGGGGAAAATATGCATGGTATCAAAAAGGCCTGTCTGAAACTGTGGGATATCTTCCTATGCATGGTGAAGACATCAAAACATGCGCCATTTAAAACCAAAGCCGAAGTCAGGGTCGGTTGCTCGGAGCCCGCCTTTTCCTTAGGCAGGCACCACTGCTCCCAGCTTGTCACCCACTGCCCGGCCCTCACGGGCTGTCCCCTTCACCTGGCCCGGCAGCCCCTCTCGGCACAGAGACGACATTGCAGAAGACAGCGATGGCTCTGAAGTCGTGGTAGCGTTAAGGCAGCGGGGCAAGGGGGTAGCTGGGTGGGTCTGGAAGATGGCGGGGTGCTGCGAGACCGAAGCAGTGCCCCTGCTGCATCCGTGCTGCCTCTTCAGAGTCCTGAACATGTGCTGTGCTTTGCTTCACTTCACCGCCTGCTGTCTCGGCTAACCTGGTGTGAACCGGTGGTGGTGCTACTGTCTGAGGGGTGCATTAGGTGGCCAGATATTGGAAGTCCTTTCTATTTTTTTCATTTGTTTTTTAATGTGACCCTGCTCTGTTCTGAGCACACTCAGCACCCGCTGACTCCTTCCATGAGAGCTGGGATCCCTTAATGTTTTGATAATTATGTTCTTTTGTCACGAGGCAGAAGAAAGAAAATGGCAGTAGTGACATATTTAAACTATTTGGATCTGAATTGGGATTGTCAGGCTGAGTTTTGGTTGCTTGTGTCACTAACATCCTGGAATGCCGTGCTGCGTAGTATAACTGTCCTTAAACAATAACCCAGGCATTGCAATACAACGCATCATGAAAATGTAATTAATCCGCGATGACAGTGGAAGTGTAACTGTAGTTACTGCTAAGATTAGCCTTAAATTGTTGTATCTTATCACAAGCAAATGTCTTTAAATTTAACAACCAGTTCAGGTTGGAAGAAGAACGTTAAAACTACAGGGACAGTCTGAGATGACATAGAGCTATATTAATCCCCTGTTTTGTTTGTGCATAAATTTCTTTAAATAGTTTCTGTTCTCTTTTTTCCACCAGGATCTGATGTTATTCCCTCAGTTAGAATTAATGAGTGTTTATCAAGGGACTATTTCTCTGGGTATCTGTTTTACAATATTACTACTAGCATCCTCATTTCTTTAGTAGGCTTATCTACCAGAGTTATGAAGGCAAGAAAACATGTGCAAAGTCTTCACTGTTTTGAAAAGGTCCTTACTAATTAATAATTCCTGTACCCTTTATTTTTCCTGTCTTGAACTGAAATTTGAGCTACTTCATTTTCCATATTCCCCATCATCCCATCTACCTCCCTAGCCTGTCATATTTCTCAGCTAACAGATGAGAAAACTTTACTTTTTTCACCCTAATGGGAATTATTTTAAGTTTTCCATGACAATTTTCACATTCTTGGAATAAGAGCATCTGTGTTATGAGGTACAGTGACATGAAGGAGGAAGATGGTGTGATAAGGAGATCTTACTACCTTAGATAATTCTGTGGCAACTGGGATAGACATCCACACATTTATCTTCTGTTTCTTGGGGACTTTGTTTTGTTTTGTTTCTTACAGCAATGGCTCAGCTACATCAGAAGATCTTTTCTGGAAGCTGGATGCTCTGCAGATGTTTGTTTTTGATCTTCACTGGCCAGAACCAGAATTTGCCCACCATTTAGAGCAGAGACTTAAACTCATGGCCACTGACATGATAGAAGCCTGCGTTAAAAGGTACAGTTGAAATGATCAATTAAAAATTGGGAGAGATTTGAAAATTAACATAGTAACAGCCATACTGGCTCGCAGAGGTACATCTGTACCAAAATCCTGTAATAGGAATCAGGGCAACTGTAAAGAGACCATGACTTGTGTGTATTTCCTAGCATCTGGCAATCAGCAATTTGGCAACATCTATGAAATACCAAAGAGAATTTCTACATATACTGTGAATAGACCCTTGGAAGTGAATAAACCAAATCTCTTTCTATTCCATGTTTGTGGCAAATACTAACAAATCTCAGAATTCTGCTTGAAGAAATCCTTTTTCTTTTTGCACATTTCCCTTCTCCGTTACTATATTATTCTTCATGTTCAGTTAATAATATTACTTAATTTACCATTATTTTAGAGTACTGTCTCTAAGAAATATATTACAAACTAAAGAGTATACAGAATTTCTGCATTTATACAATAAACAAAAGAAGGCTATCTGTAAAGTCATCCAACTGAAACTAAGTTTTATATTGCTAAGCTTCTGGAAATTATGGAAAACATAGTGTTATATACATTATGGGTATATTCTTTTAAATTAAACATTGGTGATCCAAAAAGATCTCTGCCATACCTTTCAGTACATATCATTGAGTTCAGAAGAAATATCTGTATGTCTAGAAAATTTACAGGGATCTCCTATTAGGTGCTTCAGAAGCCATGATCCCACATACAGAGAAAGCTTAGTCTGGACTCACAAAAATACTGATTTTTAAAAAAATAAATAGAAGAATGGGGAAAAAATAAAGAAAATTTGTAGACAAATTAATAGTGTCAATCAGAAAATATACAACATTGATAAGGAAGGCTAAAGAAACAGAGAACCTTTAACATCCAGTAAGGTTAAATCTGGTAACACAGTGTTTTATTATTTTCTGTTAAACATAGTAGGAACAAGGAGAACCTCAGGCTTAGTGTATGAGCCTATTGCTAGAGCTACAGTGATGAAATTATGGTAAAAAAGGCAGAAGCATTTCACAAACATTTCTATGTGATTTTGGAAGGGGAATGATATAGTGGATGGAATAAAAGTTTAAGCTCTGTAGCGAAGGAAGATATGAGACAATATCTAATAAAATTGATGTCATGTAAGCTTACATCCATCTGTTCTAAAGAATTTGGTGTAGAAGATCAGTCCACAAATATCTAACAGACCTTAGAAAAATGGTGAAATCTTAAAGGACTGGAAGACTATCAGTGCAATCTTAGTCTTAAAAACCATAAAAGGAGTAGCATTGAGATGCAGAAATATATTGATTGTATTGACTTCGAGCCTGGAAAAAAATGAAAAAAGTCTTTACACTGGGACTTTCATCAACAGGACTAAAATACAAAGATGTATATAATTAGTACTAGTTAAAATAATTTATTGAAAAATGAATCTTCTCAAATTCATCTTATGTCTTTTTTAAAGATTATTACAGATTAATGTGGGAAAAGCAATTGTGATAATATAAATACTTGGATTTCTCCTAGGCAATAAATCTAATGCCACGTGTCATTATCTAAAACTTTGCACCATACAGATTTGACTGTGCAGATTTTAATGGCACACACAAAATAGGTTAAAAATGGCTCACTGCCAGGATCACAACCAGAAGCTGAGAACAGAATTATTAACACAGAGGCATTACAAAAAGTATTCAAAGAAAAAAGAATTTTGGTCTGTGATACCAATCCTGACATCTTTGCTGCTTGTTTTTGTAGAGAATAAGAAGATTCTGGTGGCAATAAATGAAGGTTTAATTAATATTACAGAATGATCCTAGTGTCAATACATAAAATGTATTAATATTTTAGACTTAATACATAACATACTAGTGTTAATACACTAACTATGTTTTACTGTGGTCAAAGATACTGTTCATCAGATAACAAAAAGAGTAAATTATATCCATAGGGTGGATTGTATTAGACAGTAGAGACTCAGAAAAGAATGATGGAACTATTCTATTATAACTCTTATTGTCATACTAGTATGATCTATAAGACTTTTAAAAATGGAAATAGGATGCTTCTGTTCCCATCTTCTTCAAACATTGTGTCAGTTTCTGGTACCCACATTTAAAAATAAGGGTGGAAATAAAACATTACTTTTATATTTGTGTATTCTGAACTATTATAATTTATTTCAGTGACATTGCTCCTTATTAACACTGGTGTGAGAAGAAAATAGTCTTTTTGTATTATGTATCCTCTGATACATCTTACTTTTCAATATAAATATTAATATTTGCTTAATAATAAACTCCTTTTCTTCAATAAAATTCACTTTTCTGTTAAAGCCAGAAAAGGATTTTTAAATTATATTTCTTAGAAGCAAGTATTCGGTGTGATTTAACATAGAAGTGCTGGTACCCCATAGAAGTGGGGTATTTTCATTGCTTTAAATTGTTCTCAGTCATCATAGAAGGAAGTATATTCTTATCTAGTAGGCAAGAAGATAATACTTTTATTATTCAGCTGAATTAGCTGAAGCAGTGCAGAACCTTGAGATTACCATCAATGCAATTGTTTATTGAATGGGTGGATATTCTGCACTTACAGAATTTTATTTCTAAAATGTTCTCACATGCATATACATTGTTGAGCCAACATGTTTAGTAAGGTTTATACATTTGTACACTGGTTGTTCAGAATTATCAGAGAGACTGATATTATGAATTGTGTTTTAATAAACAGAACAAGAATTGCATTTGAACTCAAGCTGCAAAAGACAAACAAATCAACAGACTTGCGTATCCCTTCTTCTCTGTGTACAATGTTTAATGTCTTAGTCGATGCCAAAAAACAGACGGCTAAACTCTGCATACTGGATGGGGGGCAAGAGGTGAGTAGAATTTTGTATATTTAATTCCTATGTTCGGTTAATCTGAAACATCTCACGCTGCAGACAGTCCTTAGTAGATAAATTTCAAACTAGCTGAAATGTGTCATGTAGCTCTGTTTGTACAGGAGCATGCATAGACAGCTCCCTAGAAGCATCATGCAAGACACAACCCCTCATCTTCCACCACAGAAGACACAGAGTGCTTCTGTAATTTATTTGCTTGACCTGAGAGTCTATTGAACATTCAGAGGATTTCTTGACACACAGCCCCTTCGGGAATTTCTCTTGGGTTGCGGCAGAGAAACAGTCCACTTCAGGACTCTTTTCTAATATTAAAATAGAGCCAAAACATTGTCCTTTGCAGCCAGGTTTTAAACGAGTAAGTTTGTTTTTAAATGGCTCATATACCCAGCATTCATGCCTGTATACATACTGAAAATATAGGAAAGAAATAATCAGGTAATTTAATGGGATTTTTTTACTTGGTCTCCAAGGACAATTTTGGCAGTAGTCTGCTGCCAGGACTGTAGATACTCCACAATGGAGCACTGATGTGCTTTTGAAGTATATTTAGACTTCACTGACTACTGTCCTTCCCACGTTGTCACTCTTGGCAGGAATAATCTGTGAAGTGAAAAGGGCATACTACTGGTGAGATTACCAGCATAAAATTAAAACTGTTCTTGTTGTGCTAATGCATTAGCAGTGTAATTTTGTTTGATTTGGTTTTGGAGAGAGGGTAAAAACATTTGTCAGAATTTGGCAACAAAAAAGTATGTCTGCTTTGGGCAGTTTCACGTTTACATTATTTGGTCATATTGTTTCTGTTGATTTTTGCATTTCTGTACTGTGCTTTTCATTTTATTGACTCATCTTTTTAAGTTGGCGTATTCGATGTAATTGTCTTTTTTTTTTTTCCCCAATTCAATGAGACATTCATCATTTTCCTGTTCTACCCTGTCATCTTTATTTTTCCTTTTGGTTTTCCATGACATGAACCAGTTTGCTAATCAATGGGTAAGTGGTTTTTCATTGTTTTTTTAACCTACATTTTTTCTTTGGTTATTAACAGCCACTTTTTATTTTAAATGGTAATATTGCTTTTCCTGTAAATTTATATGCCTAGCCCTCAGAATTCCTTTATCTGTCTGACTTTGCTACAGAATGATCATCAGCTTCTCAGTTCTTCTTTCCTTGTTCATCCTCTTAAGGTGGTTCCAGATGAATTCTTCACTCTTCTGCTTTTCAGACCAAGTGTCCTGTCTTACCAGGTCACAAATTTTTGGACTCTTTCAGTTCTCAGTGAAGCAAAAGAGCAGCAAACAACTTGTTTCAGGCTCATCAGAAGTAAATCACAACTAGCAACTCTTTGTCTTAGGCTGATGCTGCTGTTTCATCTTTTACTTGCTGTCCAAGCAGTAACCTGCAAATACATGCATGCACACCCTTCTTTGGGGACAGACAATACTAGTACCTCCATAAAGACCTGCAGACAGATGGTATAACTTCATTCTCCACAGTCATGCCATTCCTCTCACTTGCTCTGGACAAAGCCTCCTGCATGGTCAGCCAGTCCCCTCAGAGCCAAAGTTCAGCATTTGCAGTTATCTTTTGGACTGCAGACCCTCACCAGATTATCTTCTGAAATCTTCCCATTCTCTAGATTTTCAAGCCCCATCATACACTCTTCACAACGTCAAAAACAGAAATACAGCCCTTGTTCCCTAGTAGGTCTGACCATGACCCCAAATGCTTCCAGTGCTTCTTTTCAGTGCAAGAGTTTGAAAATTTAGCATATCTGTGATGAAATACATACTTCTTTCAAAGTACCCAGATTAATCTTCATGCCGATTCATCTAATGAACCAAAGGAACCTCAAATTCTTCACATGTCAGAAATTATCAGATAATGTGGAAACTTCCTTCTTTCTCATAAACTTTGAATTATTGGCTTTTCAGTTGCTCATAGCTGATACCATAGTTGTTTGAAACGCTTCAAGATTTGTTGGGTGAGATACTTCTGGAATCTGCCCATCTGTCAAAGCAGGCAGGAGAGCATCTCATAACATAAACAGTTGCATCTCTGACTCTTCTATAGAAGCTCTGGCATTTCCAATTACTCCTACTTAGCCACTTGGTCTTGAAACCTTTTCCGTATTACCTTTCTTTCCCCTGTCCTCTTTCATCTTCATGTTAGTCTCAAACATGGTCCTTTATGCCAGTCAAGAAAAGCATTCCATAAGGCCTGAGTTAAAATTTTTTAAAAGGGCTGTTCGTTCACCTAAAACTCAACACTGACAGTTTCTAGAACTTACTCTGCAAGTGATGGAAGGTGTTATTTAATTAGATGGTTAGACTCAAACATTTCCTTGAATACAGCATGCTCTTTTCATTCCTTATATGGAGCTATAAGGAGTTGTATGTCTTGTTCAAGTAGAGTCAGATGCAGAAGTTTTTATCCTGTGTTGTCAGATAGGAGGGAATTCTTACTTAACATGTAATTAGGGCATTCTGGCCATGGTTAGCAATCAGCACCTTGAGTTTAGAGTTTAAATTTGGTTGAGTCCCCTGGTTTTCCTACGTTACTTCATGCATTGCTCACCATTCTCCCAAATGTCTTCCACTTAAATCCACTTTCATAAAGAATCACTAAGTCTGCCATTCAGGAGGGTTCCCCTCCTTGCCTTCTGGATATCATCTTAAAGCCTAAGAGAAGCACTGCATAATTTGGCTATATGGATGATCATCACATTGTGTTTAAAGAGAGCTCAGCTGCTGGATGCCTTCTGCATTAGTTGGCAGTTGCCCTAGTAGGGTTTGAAAAGCAGGTCCAGGGGAGAATCGCCTTATCTCAGACTAACTGTTGGTGCCTGCAGCCTGCTTAATGGACAACCAGAATGGCAATTCATGGCGTACAGGGGAAGGGTGCAGCAAGACAGCTAAGTAACATACCGCTTGCTGCTGTTTCTCAAACAGTTGCCTGCCCGGCTTCTTAGTTTCAGTAAATGTAATCTTGGGTAGTTGTACGGTGAGCAGTATCCCACTTCCTTCTTTCCTGAACCAGAAGCCAACAGGTGCTACTCCTTTACAGTCCATGGATCCCAAGTCAAATGAATAGCAGCAGTAAGGGAAACCTTTTCTGTCATACAATATTCAATCCAGAGATTTTTTGGCCTTTGTTATTTGTGATAAATAGTTTAAAACCTATTAACTTATAACTTCATGATCTAGATGCTGCAGTATTCTGGCAACATTCACCTTTTTGAGTATGATAGGTAAGAATCACACAGGAAATATTGCTGGAGGCAAGAATAAAATAGAAAATATTTCTGGGGCCATTTAGGTTGACAAATCGTTAGATCCAAGCAGGACCTTAGATCTGAGTCACAGCTTATTTGTTTCTTTGTGTAACTGGGTGGCATGAACAGAGTAAATGCCCTTGGTCTATACTGTTGAGTGCTTCATAGCGGAACATGGATAGAAGGTATTATTTTAGTTGTTTCAGAATTCCAGCCTCCCAGTACCCTATCATGCTTATAAAAGAAGAGAGACATGCTTTTCAATTTAGGGAAAAATGAGTGATGTGCCATTTCAGTGGAATGTGCCACAGCCAGTGCTTTGTGTATCTGTAGAAAAATTTAGGGAAAAGTGGGCTTTAATTTGATGAACTTTGTTTCTGAAGCTATTTTGGTTCATACAATTCAAGGAAGAGACTTGTTTAACTGCATAAGTAGTAGAGGATTATAGCCGATTTGATAGTAAAAGTGCAGAGACAATTTAATATGTATGTAATATTGTAATGTTATATGTTGGCAGTAGCAGTTTCCATTCAGACGATCATGTGCAATTTATTTTCACAGCCATCCAACATTAAAATAAACAAAGGAAAGCTAGTTTGAAAATCTTTTGACAAAACCAAAACCAAAATATCCAAGTAGTTATAAAAGCCACCTCCAATATTGGGTCAACAGTCACTCAACAGTGAGGTAAACGGAAAAGAGTATATTGTAGAATTGAGCAAGTTACAGTTCTCAGCTCATCACCACAGGATTTAGGAACAAACTCTTCTGTTCCCCAAAAGCACAAGTGTCAAAAGGCACTAAAATACTTCATCTCCTTCCAAATGCTAGCAGGAGCAGAGGGCCACGTTTGGAAGACCAGCCACATTGTCCTCAAAAGACAGTCCTGTTTGGTTGCATCTTCTGACACACTTTGCCACTGAGCATAATTTTCTCCCAAGTAGCTCCTACAGCTGCAGCTGTATTTCGTATTTTACTGGGAGTTACTCTAGGGCAGCTGGAAAGACAAAGCCCCCCTTCAGGGGCTTTGGGATGATGCTGAAAGACTCCACAAAGTGTATTCAAATAATTTAGCTGTGGGAGCTGACTTGTCTAGATTCAGACTCCATGTGGACTGTGATCATATCAGCCAGCAGAGGAATGTAAAGGCACAATTAGCCATGAATGTGTTTGGGAAAGGAGTGAGGATTTGTCTGCTCTTACTGAGCAAGCTTGGCAGAAGTAGAAAAGCTGGAGTCCTACAAGTGCTGATTTCAGGATTGTGCATACAACCTTGCCAGCTCATACAATTTTATCATTAATTCCACAATATTTGCCATCTTCCTAAAGCCTCTCTCCTGGAGTCAAATAATCTTCCACAAGGATTTGAAGGTTTTTTTTGTCAGGGGTGGCTGGTTTTGGTGGAAGTTGGCACTGGGGAGGAGTGGGTTAAAAGAATTTATGATCTCATAAGTTGCAAAATAAATCTTGAAAAAAAGGAAATTAAATTCAGATTAAAAAACAAAAATTATTTTAAATAAATGTCATTGTTTTGGAATTTTGTTGTGATTTTTGAATAATTTGATTTAGTACTTGTTTTTCTTGGTCACACAGTGAAGCTACTTACTGATTATATTCCATTCCTACAAAATTATATGCCTTGCAGTGATTAAAAAAAAAAAAAAGAAAAGAAAAAAAGAAAAGAAAAGAAAAAAGGCAAAAATATAGGAACTATACATCCATTAATTTAATGTGCTGTGGAGGTAAAGTTGCAGATACTTTATGGGAAGGACAACTGTGATCCTAGGAATATGTATAGTTTTGACATGCATCTATGGGAATGTAATTATTTATTGTTTTCAGAGAGTAAGAAACCAAGTGTAAGCAACAGATGTCAGACAGTTTGGGGTGATTTAAATCCTTAGCAGATCAAGAGAATATTATATTGGTCAAGACATCAATATGGTTAGAATAAAATATATCTGGAACTATGGAAAGTTCTTTGATGTATTTCTAATACATTCTTTCACTCTTCTGAGATGTCTGCTGATGTTTGTCTGAGACGTGTATTCACATTTTCCAAGTGTTTTTAAAGTTTAAAAGAAATTAAAACCAAAAATTAACACACTGGGTGTTGGTACCTGGAACAGATACATATGTGTGGGCAAACACATCTCATAGTTTTATTCTCTCTTAATTTAAATGCAAGTTCGGTAGGTGCGCTGTTTAGAAGATCATTCCTAACTATATTAAGCAGATCAGATTTAATGTTTTGGTATGTATGGCTACTCTGAGAGAGATGCAAAATAGCCTTTAAAAACTTACAACTCTGAAAACTCTTCAGCTGGCAGCTGCTAAGTTAGGCTAATGTTTATACTGACCTCAGTACGTTTACTCCGAGCATTATGCTGTTGGCTGTTCCATGTAGCCTTGAACTATGAAGATAGGGTTAGTCTTTACAAGTCACATTTTCTGTGAAGTGGCTATTGGGGACAATCTTTGCTGTCAGATAAATGTTTCTAAAGGAAGAATTACTGTTTAAATTGATGTGCCTCCTTGACAGAATGGGATCCCTAGTTCCTGTTAATTTCAGGAGAGAATTCTGTAGTATTATCTAAAAAGTCTTTCAGATTTATTTTAAAAGCATTTACTTAAAGGCACCTTCTTTAAGAAAAAGCAAAAGAAAAAAGCTATGGAGAATGAAGTCTGGTGTATTATGCCTTTTATGGCCTATTAATTTGTTACCATCTATTCTGCTTTGTTGATGAAATTTTAATTTTGCCCTTGCTTGAGCATATTGTAAGATTTGTATAAACTGCAGCTCACTGTGCTAACAGAAAGGCTCTTTTAGGATGAACAATTGAAGCTCATTTTATTTCTAGAGGACATTTAAAATAACTTATGAATGAGAGTTGTCAGACATGAAATGCTGTATTAATTAAATCTTATTCTAGTCTTTTTGCTTCTCCAGCTAAACCAACCCTTTAGAAAAAAAAATACATGGCCACCTTAATTATATAGGAGAAGACAAAAAGTATCCTTCACATTCCTTCGCCTGAATAAGAATAAGAACTCAATTCATCTAAATAATAACCCCATTAGCTGCTTAACTCAACAGTGTACATGGGAAAATTTTCAACACAGAATGTAAGGAGGTGTTGATTGGGTGGATCGTTTTCAAGGGTTTGTTCTTCTGATGTTCAAAATGATAATTTTAAGTAAATCTGATTTGGCAGGGTTATCAGCTTTGTACCATTTATGACTTATGACAAAAGTGTGTGTTCATATACATGCTAATGCTTTTTTATCTTTTGAAATACAGCAACAATACCATTCAAAAATAGATGACTTGATTGAAGAAACTGTTAAAGAAATTATTTCACTTCTTGTTTCAAAGGTAAAACAATTTAGATTTTAATTTATAATAAAGCAGAGAAATACATCTCTAATTATTGAACTTCTGAAATGTCTTTAAATATCACACAGTTTTTCTGTACACAGTGAGATTGGGAGGGACAACAACATGATTTGTAAATAACAGTCATCCAAATAATATTGAATTTACAAAATTAAATTTTATAACACATTAGGTAAACAATTTCTGTGCAACTTTCTAATTGGATAAGTTTCTCTTCTGTGTTTCTTATAGATAAGAACTGCTAGCAGCTAGCAGAACTGGTAGGACTTGATTATGTCAGTATTATCATAAGTAATAGCATATTTTATTTTTTGTTTAATTTTTCACATGAAAACTTTCTTCCTATCACTAAGTAGTATTTAAATTTTGTATTTAAAGATGGACAACATCCAGACTATCCGTATAGCTTTTTTATGAAATTTTGCTCCACAAACCATTTAATTTAAAAATATTTTATAAGTTGCTATTTCTTGAAATTGACTTTGTAGGGGTTTTATATTTAAAAAGAAAATATGTTTTGGAAACATGGAAAATAAGGTACCTGGAAAATAAGTGAAGAAAACTTAAACAATGTCTTATGTTAGAGGTAGCACCTCTACTCCAGCAAAAGTCTTAAGTGCTTGATTTGAAAGAAAAGCTTTCAGTTCCTAATAGTTTGAAGGACACAGCAAATAAATAATTGAACAGAAAGATTTTATAAGACATTTTGTTATCTATGCATTGCAAACTACCTAGAAATACCTGATTTTCAAAGTAGGAGAAAAAAGCTGTACATTTAAAATTTGTGAGTTAGTGGGAAAAAAATAAGACTGTGGTCATATTTTCATCATGCCTTCATTTTCACTTGTTACAGCTTGCTGGCACAGGGTGGGGGGAGCAGGAACCTCCTTTCGGATTGACACCCACCATGCTTGCACAGGAGTTGAAGAGGAAGGTTTCTGTAGAATCGTTGTAGAAGTTTAAGCAAAATGTGTCCACTTACTGATAAACATGTAAAAACCACACACATTTTTTCTCTAAAGTGAAGTTTTGGTGTAAACGTAACTATGTAAATGGTTCAACTCAACAGTTTCGAGTTTTACATGCCACCTGTCATCATTCCGAACTGACCTGTCAGTTTATGGATTTAGAGTTATTGAAGAGGAAGAGGAAGAAAGGGGAATTTAATCAGAGCAAATCATGCTATTGAAAGTTAAACTTTTCATTAATTTTTTTTAATATCTGAGATTATAGAAGAACGAAGAAAATAGTCATATTCCTCCTGAATGTATGTACAAGAAATTCTAGAGACAACTGCCATCAATACAGAAGGATTTGCTTTATTAGGTATCACATATACTGTTACCAGAGGTTGAAATCTTGGAACAGGAAGCAAATATTCTGTGTCACTGGCTGATCATTAGAAGCTTAACCAGTCTCTCCTCACTTGAGATGTGAAGTGCCAGTGACATCCTGATTGCTTCTGTTTCAAGGCAGAAAGCCTCTGAGGGTACAGAGGAAGGCTGATGTTTCACTCTTGGTTTTGGCCAGGAAAAATGCACATCAATGTGCATAATATCCATGTGTGTTCATTTTTTTTCTCCAATATATTTTCATTATTTTTTAGCCTTGCCTCTGTATTATTTCCTTTGTGTTCCAGTGGAATAAGTGTTTCAGTAATTGTTTTTAGCTGCAAGTCATCTATGAAAATGAAAGAGTACTTTCACTTCAGTGAGACTTTACTTGGTAAAGACTATACTGTGCATTTTGTACACAAGAGACTTACCAAGCTGAAGCATTTAGCAAATCACAGGAATAGCACAAAACAATGGAACAAAGCACAGCGTGTCTCAGGGTAACCAATTCAGAGAATGTGAGGTATACGCAGAAATGCTCTTAGAGCTTCACAGGTCCGTACACTAAGATCTCAGAAAACAAGTTTCCAGCTTCATAACTAAGCTTTTCATTTAAATGGACATCCTTGACACTGCAATGTTCTTTTGTGTCCCACTTGTATTGGAACCATTTGTTGGCACTGTGGACACCATGTTGTTTGTGAGATCAGCCCCTTCCATAGCAGATCTTTGCACAGTAAGATTGAACACCCTTCTGCAGAAAGAATCCTTGCCAGTCAGATAAATTGAGTTAAAGTATGAATGGCAGCTTCTCACAGGCATGCAACAGCAAAGCAGAAAGCTGGTATTTGGTCTAATAAAGGAACTGTAATTATACTGTGCATGGGGCGCAGAAACAACTGCCACTCTCTCTCGTGATGTGGTTTTATTCCTTGATCGGCACCTACGTACTGGTGTCTTAATTAATCACTGTAAATATGACAGGTTAGATTGATAAATGACAAATGTAAGTTTGCACTTGCTCCTGCTCCTTGAACTGTTAAGAGCAGGGCTTATTGTAAAGTGATGATCTCAGTTCCTCTGGAGGTGACACTGTTGTGACACTGTTACAGTGCCCATTAACAGCATGCCAGATGGAATTTTGTTCTGTTCACACACTCATAAAATGATACTCGTGGCTGTGGGAATGACTGTGTTGGGAGCAAGGGATGACTTTTAAAACAATCTTTATATAAACTGGAAAGCAATTCATATGTGTAAAACAAATGTGCATGAATACAACGGCTGACAGTATTTTATGTTATATATATGAATGACTTGAGCAACATAACATCACAGAGGGACATGAGAAGGGGATGTGTTTGCTTTAAGGCTAATTTGAGGGAGTTTAAACATTAAGGCTATAATTAATGCAATTAATAAGATTTTTTTTTTAATCAGAAATAAATTTTGGCAAAAACGCCTTTTCATGCCACTTACTGAGGAGTCCCCCTACTCAGAGAATCGCAGGTGAAAGCATGGGGGAGAGGAACCACACCGTACCAGAGATTTGGGGCCTACATTTTCTTGCCCCTCCTTGGCCATGTAGTATCAGTTCAACAGCACATGCCGTTGTTGAAGATGAGCTGACAGAAAACTCTAGTGCTATTACACTGTTGGGTGAAATCAGAGCTGGTTTTCTATTCAATAGCAAAGATAAGAGGAACATCATATCAAGATCGCCACCTCTAACAATTGTGCTCCACCATCTTTGAAGCTGTGGTCTTAGAAACTGCGATCCTAGAAAATAACGTGTGTTTTCTACCCAAAATACATGCTGGGTACACACACTCCTATATTTAACCACACATTCGAGAGGCAGTAAAGGGGTGTTGGGTAGCAGGCCCCCATCAGGAGGAATTTGGGGTTGGGTTTCTATTTCTGCAGTGGTTCAACAATGATTTCCATCAGTTCAATCCATAGGTGAAGCTGAGAAAAGAATGTTGTCCTTGATTTCAGCACTTTGTGAGATGGAGAAGGTGATCAAATTTACGGTTTGCATTGCGCTGCTGAACAATAAAAATCTGAGGAAGAAAAACTCACATTCTCATTCAAAATATTTACTTTTCATATTGTGCGTTTAGATTTTTCTCTGTGCTTTTCCTCCAGGTTGTTTCAGTGTTAGAAGGTGTGCTGTCTAAATTGTCAAGATATGATGAAGGCACTTTCTTCTCATCATTAGTTTCATTCACTGTAAGTGTTTGGATTCACAATGGTTCTGTTCTTCTTTCTGTGCATAATTCTGAAATTGTGCACAATCTGTAGTGATAAGCACTTACTGTGTGTTGTTTTATTTTTAATTTTCTAAAGGTGAAAGCAGCTGCAAAATATGTTGACGTTCCCGTAAGTACAACCCTTTTATTTTTTCTAGTGTTCATAATAATTCAAAAAATAGGAGTTCTGTTAGCTCACATTTTTTATTGTTGACATTTTGCTTTCCTACAGAGATTCATTATAGCTTTACACAGAGTATTTAAACAGCCACTGCAACCCTCAGAGAGCATTTCATTTCCCTCAAGCAACGAGTAACTCTCAAAGCAGAGCTTAGAAAGGTTATTCTCAATGTACTTTTTCAGCTGTGGAAGAGTGAGGAATGTAACTTAGATACTCTTTTGTAGGGGTCTTTTCATCATTTGGCTAAATTGTTCAAATGTACAGGATAAGCAACAAGTAAACCCATCAGACTTAAATATCCATTATTTATTGATTTCTTACTTCAGGACCCAATCTTGCTTATTTAATCCCTTGCTTGCTAAATCTCTATTTGATTTACCATTGCTTATGCAATGTTTGTGTGGTATAAATAGAAACTAAAAAGGGCAGCTGTTGGAGCTCTTTTATACATAAACGCAAATTTCAGCTATTAAAATATTTTGATTAGAGTATCATAGTAGAACATCTTTTCTTTAAAAAAGCAAGGAAGAAGTTATCAAATATTGTCATTATCACTGTCACTAAATATCCTTTGTTCTCTCGCAAGTCTGTGTTCTCATCCCTTTTTAATGTGATTCTAAAACAATCTTATTTTCCAAGCATAGCAAAAAAATGACTAAAATTATTATGTTAATGACCTTAGAAGAAATAAAATTACAAATATAGAAGAATGCCGGACATGCTAGCCTGTGTGGTGGCCAGAAATCCTTTCAGCAGTTCTATACTTAAAAATATAATACTTGGAAGCTTAAATCATTTTTTTTAAATCCATGCATACTAAATAAAAGGAAAAAACTCTATTTCCGGAATTTGTTATTTTGCTATCTTTATATTTGCTTTATTCATAGATAACAAATTGTAAATTTCTGTTCAGATGATGTTTTCGGAATTTTTTTCTTATTCGGTTACGTGTGGACTTTTTGTTGAGTTGTATAAATGCTCTTGTGTTTTATAAAAAAGAAAAAAAAGTAGGCTCAATCTTGCATTCAAAGGAATGACCTCATATCAAATCCAGTTAGTTTAGAATACCTTTTGTTAATACGTTGTGCTGTGGAGGTGCCCCAAAAGGTCCTTGGTGAGGCACTTAAGACTCAAAAGCCTAAAGAAAAAATTACTGAGCAAACTAGAAATTCATTGACTTCTTTCAGGTAACATCAAAAACTCTCCAAATTACATAGAATATCTATGAGAAGGAGATGTCAAAGTCCTTTACCATTGGCCTGGATACGTTGACATTGAGGTTAACGATAAAGATGAGACCGAAAAATACGTTTGCCAACGAGCTTAGGAGAATATTGTGAGTCAGGTCACACAGGGATGCACTGCTCCAGAGAGGGGGGAAGGCAGAGCGGGGAGGTGGTTGCTGGAGCCCCGTTGCCTCATATTCACTGAATGGTGTTGCTTGGCCTGAAGAGACGACCAGATTATAGACAGGCTATCAGGATCCTTGCATTTTTTCAGCTATCCCACACACCTTTCCCACAGCCCAAGATGTGAACCAGGCAATAGTACTACAGTTGTAAACTATAGGTGTAAACTGTACTTCAGGGAGGCTGTGGATCTGACCAAGCAAACATTTTGCAAATTCTGGAGGACTTTTTTCCTGGGTTGAAGGAGTTTGATTTGATAGGACGAGAGGAAATGGCCTCAAGTTGCACCAGGGGAGGTTTAGACTGGACATTAGGAAAAACTTCTTTACTGAAAGAGTGGTCAGGCCTTGGAACAGGCTGCCCAGGGAAGTGGTGGAGTCACCATCCCTGGAAGTATTTAAAAGACATGTAGATGAGGCGCTTAGGGACATGGTTTAGTGGGCATGGTGGTGTTGGGTTGACGGTTGGACTTGATAATCTTGGAGGTCTTTTCCAACCTTAATGATTCTATGATTCTATGATTCTATGATAGACTGGGGTTTGGTTTTGCTTCTTCACATTCTTCCCCTTTTTGTGAAGATGCAGTTGAGGCTAAGGAGAGCCGTTACTGTCACAACTGACAGCGAGTCTGAATAGGGTCTAAAATCACCGTTTGTGGAAGTTGTTACAAATTCCAGCTGCAAAAGGAGGCTATAAGTCATCATGTTACAAGGTCATCTCCTGGGCTCACAACTGAAGTGAGAAGTGGAGAGGGGGGCAGCACAGGGTGAGGAATTTACGCTGAGCTCTTGGTCGTGTGACGGTAACCTAGCAAGCCTGCACTGAAGCTAATTAAATGCCTTGTGTGGCTGTATTTTGAACTGATATGTTTTAAAATCTCTTCTTGTCCCTCCTTACCATATAGCTGCATATATGGAAGTGATTTAAAGGTGACCACAATAGGTCCTTTCTTTTGATATAGTTGCAAATATGTGCAAAATTGCACTTTGTTAGATGACCACATTCTGCCCCCGTGCCCCACCTCCATTCGAGGATCTCGCTGGGTCGCCTTAGCGCTGACCTTGGGATCCCTGAAACAGAGCTCTTGATCGCTTGGTGGATCTGGGGGAGAAGGAGGTTGGGGTGGGCAAAAGGCCTTTGCGGTTTTTTTGAGTGTGTGAATTCAACAGAGTTTTTTGATCTTTGATTACCAGGCTCAATATTTGGCAAAGAGAGAAAAATATGCTGGTTTATAGTGAAATAAGAAGAAACTAACTAGACAAAAGAGATGTTAGATGAAAGAAGAAAATGAAGGTAGTACTGAGCAGAATGTTTTAGAGAGAGGATGAGAGGTAAAGGGGATAAAAAAGTTAAAAGGCAAATAAAAACAGAAATAATAAAGGATAATAAAGGATTCAAAAAGGAGGAGGACATTCTTGGATGATTCTTGGTCATTTTGAGGAAAAGGTTAATTCTGTTAATATTGAGAGGGGATTTAGACAATAAATAGTTGGGCACAAAGATGCACGCTCACCAGAAGGCATCCCTCAACTTCTCAGGGCCAGGGTGGGAAATATAGACAGAGAGTTGCAGTTCATTTGGCAGATATGTTTGTAAGAATGTTGCTATCTACCCTTCCATTCATTAATCTTGCCAGAGAATTATGAATAACTCCATCCAAAAAAAGAGTTTCATCTTTTTTTCTTTTAACTTGTTCAAGAAAACATTCAACATAAGCCTCCATTTTTCAGAATGCCCTTTATGAAGTGGGATGTATGCAGTCACAAGGAGCTCTCATTGCTTTCCCCGGCCATTGCTTATAGGGCTATATGGACACTGTGTATGTTTTGGTAATTGAAATACCAACAGAAATACTAAGAGCAGTACAAAATAACCCAGACTAAGAAGAGTAACAACAATGAAGGCTGATGATTTCCTAAAAATAATAATGAAAAAATCTAGTTGCTATTACGCTCTTTTTGCTGCTAATGGTCACAGTACACTATGCTCTGAAGTGAAAGAAATTGTGGCTGCTGTGCATGTGAAAGAAACCAAATGTTTGGAGGAAAATAACACAAACATTACAAATATAAGTAGTACGTCAAAGATGCAATTTGTTCTCTTGTTAATGCTATGTTTTGATGTTTGGGAATGCAGGAGCTGATTTAGGTTACAGTTTTTTTAAAAAAACAACTCACGCAAATCTGCTATAACTCTTTGTTAGTTTCTCTTAAAGCCCAAGCAATCCTTAAGAGATGTAGAAGTACAACCTGTCTAATTTTTTTCTTTTTTTTTAACGTTCTGTTCACAAAGCCAGTTAATTAATGAGAATAGGAGTAGAATTAAGGGCAAAAAAATGTATATTGTTAATCTCAAATTATTATTATTATTCCTCAATCATGTAGATAATTTCATTGCATTCAGTTTCTCATTATGTAAGTCAGTTTTGCACACAAATAATTGTGTCTCTAGCTGGTCATTTCTACACACATTTGCCTCATTTACAAATATAACCAGAGCAATTACTCATACAAATTGAGCATCCAGTTACATGCATATTTATATACTGCTTTTTGTTCAGAAAGGTATGTTTAAATCCCTTTGTAGGAGCCAGTAATCTATGCCAGTCATGTAGAGGGCACAGAAGGAACCTAATCCTCCCTCACTTCATGTAGGCCACCTGTCATACCAAGTGCAGAGAGGCCATTTGAAGGACCCAGGCTGACAGCAGTGCACAGCTCGCACAATACCAGGCCTCTCGCTCCGCTCTTGCCTTTATGTGGGGATCAAAGGTATGAAAAGGGGCCTCACACATGTGCCAGCATTTGACTTATGGGGTCCTGTAGAGGCCAAAGTAGGAACTCTGCCTCCTACCAGGCAGATACACATTGGGACCTTCCAGATACCTCCATTTCCAAATATCCCACTTGTATTGCATGGCCTCATTTCGCGGGTTTTAAGAAGCAAATGACTTTTTCTGGGAAATCAGTGTGTATTCAGGTGTGGCCATACTGTGCCATTCATTTACTTGGAGACCTCTGTTTAAAAATAAAGAGCACAGAACAGTCATTATCCTCATGCTCAGGGCTTCTCCTGCCTTCTTCCTCCTCTTCCTCCTCCTCTGTATACCCCAACCTGGGAAATGGCCCTTCTGTTTTCAGATCCATAAAAGCAAGCTATTGCAGAATCAGAGGGAAAGCCTTGCATCATCTCTTTTACGTCAGCAGTGTTTTTGAGATACCTCTTAAATGGAGATCAGAAGGATGGCAGCTAATCAGTAGGAAAGTTAAAATAACATAGTCATTTTGGGGAGAAAAGCATATTTTAATACCTGGTTTTGTCATAGTAACTGTAGTGTTTTGAAGACCTTTTGCACTACAGAATCAAGATCCTGGTGCAAACACTTGCACGCCTGTGTTGCCCTGTGAATGCAATGAAACTACAGATATATGAAAAAGTGTTTGCTTAAATGCTTGCAGAATCACAGCTTAAGTTCTGCGTGATAGTTCTCAAAATACACACGTTTAGCCTTTGGCAAGGTTACTTTTTCATCTACAAGAAGATGTATTAGAAGCAGGGAAAATGCGTTGTATTTTTTCATTTAAGCAATATATTATTTTTCATAACCATGTGAGAATAAAATATTACCTTTATAATAGACTGATTATACAAATGATGCATCTTCCTGCCTGACTTATGTATTTTGATGTGTAAGAAATGAAGGGAGCGAGGATCTTGTCATGAGTACAAGTAGTTTCTATTCCAAAAATATTTTAAGTCTGTCATTCCAATGCCCAAGTGATGAGCCTTGCAGTATTTAGAGGAGAAATTTCAGGCAGTGAAATTTTCCAGCGTGCTCTTTCATTTGGTGGTGGACACTGAATAAGGAGCTCCTATGTTTCTCACAATAGCCCCCTCCAGCTCATCACTCCTTTTCATTTCATTGTTATATCCACGCTGTAGTTAAAACGTCTCCCTCCAAGATGCAGGGGAGGGGAGGGGGGTGGAGAGGAAAGCAAACGCAAAGTGGGATGAAGTTTGTTATTATATAGTTAGTTTCCAACATCTGTTCTCGTATTTGAAAAATTAATGCTTTGACAGGACAGCAACTAGGTAAAACTAGATTTTTTTCTTGGTAATATCAAGAATACAAGTTTCTGTAATATTCTCTGATGCTAAGAAATGTTCTGTGGCAAATGCCAAAGTGAGAATAAACATAACTCAAGTATTTACAGATGTACACGGGTTTTATTGAGATTTGTGGCAAACTGTTGCATTGCAAAAAGCTGTGCAGAAACTTAGATGTGTCTTTTTTGCCTAATATTAGTGGCAGAATTAAGCTTGTTGCAAACCTTTCAGCAGCAAAATATTTCAACGCCTGGAAATCAAGGCAATGCAGCATTACTTTTGACTAGGTGCCTCAGGCAAATTTTGCCAGTGAGAGCGATGTGTGTCACTCATAATACAGCTTCTACATCATCTTGGAAACTGGAATAACGTTAATAAATGTTAAATAGACACTACGATAGTGTTTTCCTGTTTAAAGGGGGAAAGTTAAGCTGTTTCTTCTTTATCTGAATTTGTTGCTATGAAAAAGTGCCTGTCGATCTGGACCCACCTACCAGTGAATAGTAAAAGAGACAACCTGCACCTGTGGGATTAGGTGCAGCAGCAGGAAGTAAGAGCACTTGCAGTATATAATTAACAAGGATTTTTTTTTTCCCCAAACAGCATGTTCATCTTGCCAGGTTAACTAGTGATTAACCCTAAAAAAGAATGTGCTGAAGCCTACACCCTTGTTTAAACTCATTCACTCGCCAGTGTATTCAGTTACTTGTGTAACCAGCGACAAAGTAACCCTATTTACAACTCTTCATTTCCTGGTATTTTATTTGATGTCTTTGTGTTTCCAGTTTCTCCATTCATCTCTTTGTTTGGTTCTCTTTCATTTTCAGATAGGCAAAACATCTTGTCTGCTGTTCTGAATAAAACAAACCTACAATAACTTTTTATCTATCATGTAAAAACACTTTTTTACTTGGGGAAGTTTTCAGACAGAATACCTTTTTTTATACTTATCCAGATAAATATACCAGGTTAAATTCTTCTCCCAAAGATGTGCAAATAAGTCTCTCCCATTAACTTCAGCAGATGTTCTGCCAGAGATTCAGAGGAGCAGAATTTTTTATTTTGGGTATAGAAGTGAAGACTGAGTTGCTTAAGTCAGTCCGATGTTAGTAATGAAATGCCCCCTGTGACAGTTACTTAAAATATGTCTCAGTTTCTATTAGTTTGTCTTTTATGGTACATCCAATTGCTTAATTGTTTTTTTTTTTATTCTGTGTTAGCCTGGGATTTTTCTGAAGTTCAATAATCCAAAATAGTAGAGGAATGATACGATCATGTAATCAGAGGTTCCCATCTAATACATAATACCTATTTAAAAAAAAAAAGTTAAAATATGAAATATATAGCACTAAGCCTGTTTTGATGCTTATAATAGCTTTCTTTTCTTCTTTCACATGTCCAGAGAAAACAAATTCAATGCACGCAATATGGAGAGATAATGAAGTATTTGATATGCTATTGGTTCATTCAATGTTTAATGAGTTTTGCCCATCATGAGTGGAGATGGTTAGCTTGCAATGATTTTGTGAGCTTTTAAAACAGTGTCATACTATTGGAGTACTGATAACTTCCTTACCCAGACATATTTCTAGTGTAGACAGACACTGTTTAAAAGGAAAATTAATTTTTTTTTTCCACAGCAATTTCAAAGATAATTATCCTGCACACATTAAAGAAGGATGAAGTGTTTTAAAGAACTGTAATTCTAATTGGTAAATGTCACCAGCTGTTGCAGTTACTCTTACTTGTGTATATTCTTTTAATGATTACACTCCTGTGCCACAAGCTACATGAAAATATATTCACTAGGTGTGAAATTCCCATATGTCGCAGCTTCAAGACTAGGTAAACATCTCAAAGATAAGGGGAGAGTTAATGCTGATGGGAAATGTTATTTTTCTAGCTTTGGCTGTCTGCAAGATGAACATTGAACTTAGTAAAAGAAAAAATTGCATAAATCAGAGAGCCATTAGGTTTTAGCATTCATTGGAAGATTCATTTTTACATTTACTGTATATCTCCTAGAACTATAATCAGCCCTTCATTTGTTAGAGTATCTCCTTCACACACACACCCGAGATTTCAAAATATTTTCCCATTATCTCTCCAAGTTAAAACTAGTCCAATTCCTATAAATGCTTATCAAGTTTTAGAACGTACATAAGGTTTCAATGCTGTTTGTATTCTTTTCTACCATCACAAATGAGTATACTAAGGGAATATATGGAGCTTTCTGTTTTAAATGCCCTAAATCACTTTATGATTTAGTTTAATTTAAAAACATTTCTGTCACATTTTAATGAAGAAGGCACATTTTTATCAATGAAATCTATTGATTTCCTTGAACCAGGTTTTCCAACAGAAAACTGTTTTATCTATTGTAAGCTTACGGTTTTATTGCTATGCTTAGGATCAAGGTGTGTAGCTCAGATGTAAATATAAATGGTCCTGCTTTCCTCTTAAGAGTTTCATGTAAGCATGTATGTATGTGGTAAGTTTTTGAAATGAGCTTACATCGCCTCTGGAATGACCTATCTAAATGTGCAGGAGACATTTCAGTTTTTCAGTACGAGTTTTGAAGATCCTAGGAGTGTTAAACCAGGCCATCATTCCACATTCCACAGTTACTTTTAAGAAATGAAACTGCCATTGATGCACATGTATATGTGAAAAAGAAAATCTTCTTATTTTGGATCATATTCCTATATGTGTCTATGGTAGATTCACGAAACAAGAGATGAAGCTTATGATCTAGGAGGGATCTGCAGTTTTGAGGGGAGAATGCTCTCATCCTATTATTGTAATGGCAATTTCTGGACATTAGTTTGGGTATTAGTTTGGGCATGTTGCACCTTTCCTCCCCTCTTGTGCTCAGACCTGTTTATATACATTATAATATATTGCATACAAGATAATAAGGAATAAGAAAAATTAAAAGTTGTCCACTTGTAGGCTAGAAAAGAAGCCTTAATATAAAATTATATGTAACTATTTTAACTATATGAGCATGTGTATGCATACAGGCCTTTAAAATATGCTAAATATTTTACTCTTGCAGCTTTGTATGTATGCTGTTTTCAGACAATAACAGCTTCTGAGAAATAGAGATGACTTATGCCTGGGAATTCAGGGACTGGATATAACTGCTTTCGTCCTCCTTCCCTGGAGCTGTTAATTATTCTGTACAGAGTCGGTCTTAGCCAAATCTGAATCCTTTATAAATAGCTTTGTGCTAAGGCTTACTGTAAAGTATTATAAAACTTAGCCTTCTTTTGCATGCCATGAACTTTAAAAACTATTATTTGGGATCAAGTGATACTTTTACAAACTTGCCCACACAGAGGGCATTTACAGAAGACTTTCCGAATTGCTTATGTTCATTCTTGGTTCCTGTTAGAGAAAGGTGAACATTTTGTGGCTACAGAGGTCCAGAAGTCCCCGCTGGGCAGGAGGGAGCAGTTTCAGCAACCACTCTGGCTGGTCTGACATAGTGTCACATATACACGACATATCCTAGTCCCGTGTTTGGGAGTGTGGTATGAAAATTACGCCTACTCTGCTATTTATACAGAACATGGATCAGTACAAGAAGGGAAACATTTCAGCCCTTGCTCCTTCCCTAGTCATCCTCTGAGCTGATTGTGCCAGTGCAACAGTTTCAGAAAAATAGGGGTACAGGTCTGCTTTCATACCTTTTTATGCCATTGCTCTCAGGCAAATGCTTGAACTTAGTTTGAATCGGAATTAGTAGAAGCTAACCTCAAACGCAAAATTCAGCTGTACATTGGAAGCAAATCTGTGGAAATGCAAAAGGAACTGAATGCTTTTTTTTAACCATTTTCTGAATGTGATAGCAGGATCTGGACCTTGAGGGTGGACTAGCTATGAAAGCCTCACTAACAAAAAAGGGGAAAATGTCCAAGTTTGCCATTGATGTTACCAGAGACAAGACTTCATTCCATTACATATGGCAATGTAGGTTTATGACTCAAAGCATCCATAAATTATAACACTGACAACTTTATTAATAGTGAACTCTCCTGAATTTGGTAACTAACCCAGAATTCACAGCAGGTTTAGTAAATACAGTTTATACATGTGTGTACATTGTAACATAATCTCAGTTTTCATTATGTTTAAGTATAATGTCTTATAAGTCTCAGTTGTTGTTTTTTCCCTTCCCACTACTTTCTCCCTTTACTTTATGTCTCCACAGAAACCAGGGATGGACCTAGCAGATACCTACATTATGTTTGTTCGACAGAACCAGGATATACTTCGAGAAAAGGTCAATGAGGAAATGTATATAGAGAAGTTATTTGATGTAAGTAGCTACCCTTGCAAAGCTTGCTGGTATCACTACTACCTCAGAAGGGATAAGCTGCATTTTGGTGATATTCAACAAGCTGTTCAGATGTTCTTCCCTGTTGATCATTTTTTCTTTTGCTTTTTATTTACCATCTTCAGCAGTCAAGGGTGGCTTTTCTTTAAACATTTTCTGCATGAAACTTTTAAGTGCTAGAAGGCATAAATAGAATTGGTAGAAGATTATTATTTGAAATAGTCATTTTTCCACTGTGAATAGTCCAATTTTATTCCATCTTTTGATTTTGAATGTGTTAGTGGAGAGAATTGGATTGGTGTGGTTTGTGGACTCCATTGCAGACCTAGTTTCCCTAAATAAAGAACTTGTATATATCACTGCCTGCTCGTATACAGAAAGAGGCCAGTTTTGCCAGGTACATCTACAGGTTTGACTGGTACTTTCATGGAATGACTTCTAGAATTTTGTTTTATGGATTTTTAGTTTAAGATTTATAATTTCATAAAGTTAACCAAAGTTTTATTGAATTGTCAAACTTGTTTTCAAAACTCTAATCCCGCTTCTGCAAGCTCAGAGTAATCCTCTTCCTCCTCCTTGAGGCCCACACATTGCTTGCCAGCCTGTGTCTTTGCAATAATAATTTCCCTCAGCTTTGATACTGGCTTCCGCATCCTCCCTCTGCTCATTCCTTTGCCCTGATTCCACCTCATTTTGTTAGAAATGATCACCTACTCTACCAAAATTTTCTTCATACAAGGCTCTCCTATAAGGCCATGAGCAACACTCTTGGGCATATTTCTGCTCATTCAAGTTCTGACCACTAATTTATGTCTAGTATGTCCCTTTCTGAGTTGTCTGAAGGAGAAGCTGTAGGCAGCTGAAATTGTATCTTCTGTATAAATTCAAAGCACTACACGTGTAAAATATGTCTAAAATAAAAGTTATTTTATTATAAACTTGGATCAATTTACATGGCAATGATTACTTATAATTATGTAGGAATTTGAACAGGGAAAGAAGTCATCTCTGGCACTGTGCAATGCAATTTATGCAATTTATTACAAAACAAATTCTGGAACATAATACAGACTTTGAAATGTATTTATTTGTGTGTCATCTCCTAAGTATTTTAGAAAGCTTTGCTGGCAGTTTCATTTAATTATGCAAGTTACAGCAAATGTTTTCATAACAGCAATTCACAGCCTTTACTGTGACACTACAGTTGTGGCAGTCACAGAAGGTCCCATAACATAGACTCTCAGCCATGGTATGTCATGTCAGTGTTTGTTGTTTGTTAGACTGGCTGGTCAAAATGAGACTTATCTCTCAGATTTTATATTTCTAGACAATCCCAGGCAGCTTTACAAAAAAAAGTATCATCTGTTTTAATAAGCTAAGTGCTAATATGTGTGAAAAGAATGATTTTATAAAAGCTTTGATGCCCTGCAGGGGTAGAAAAATTATCATCCATCCAGCTGGCACCTTCACAAAGTACTAAAACCATATTAGCAACTTCTGCTTCAGTTTGCTTTTGCACTGAATCTGCAAGCATATGTTTCATTTTCAAGATTCTACTTTTTGTTTTTCTTTGGGGTTATTTTTGCTTATGTTGTAATTTTCTGAATGTTAGTAGAATTATGTGCCTAAGGCCAAGTCTAACCCTTACTGGAGAGACCACGTTGACTTTGTTGGTGTAGTGGGATTGGACCAAGCCTTAGGCTATGTCGATAGCAGTAAACTGGCCAGGGCCTGGGCACAGGCCTGAGGACTAGCAGGTGATCATCTGTACCATTAAGTCATCAGCATGGTTCCTGGCGTGGTTTTGCGTTAGGCCACCTAGCACTAACCCAAGGACAGTACAATTGGGTTAGCATGGGTCGAGGATCTCTTCCAAGTTTGATTGCAGCAATCAAGCTTTTCAGCACAAGAAAACATCTCCTGTATGGATGTAAGCCATGACATAGCACTTGCCTTTGAGACACAAAACCATTCCTGTCTCCTTTTACTCAGTATTATGCATTTTATGGTGTCATGGCCAATGCTTGTAGCTGTAAGGAAAGAAAAAAGATGTACATGATACATATTCTGTGTATCAAATATCTATTGTATCTTTATTTTTCTTCATGTATGGTGGTATCATATGGTGGTATCTAGTGGTCACACTAGGAGATATAGCCAATTGGACAAAATCAGATATATGCACTAACAAATATGTAAGCTCATAGCTTGCAGAAATTTAAAACAAAGGCATCTCACTGTGTTAACTCGCCTGTCCTGGGATTAATTCAGATTTAGAACAGTATGACTAAGCAAGATTTTGCCCATGATTTTTGGAAGGGGTTTTTAAATTAGTGATATAACAAAACCTAGGTACTGTTTATAAATTCAATTCTATCAAGTTATATTTCAATAGAAAGAATAAAATACGTTCAAGTTTTTAGTAAATATACTTCAAGCCATTCAACTGGCTACAGTTGTAGATCACTGTTGATTTCTCCTTAAAATACATTGTATTTCTATCAGATAAGAAATCATCAGCCAAGCGAAGTAGGAAAAGTGCATGTCTGTGTTTCAGCCAGGGAAACACCTCATCCAGAATAACCAAAAAAACCCCGATGTTCTGTATGCTAGAACTGATAGTTATAAATATAGACAAGATCAGGCCTCAGCCACTATTTTAATCCAAAAAGTGTGTACTTACAAACTATTTATGCACAGATTTCATTGACTTGATTCAGGGCTGCTATATACTGACAGCTATTACAGTGACCAAGAGAACAGGATGTCTATCATACGAAGTAATGTAGACATCAAAGAGGATCATTCAAATTGAAGAGTGGTAGAAATGGCTGCCAGTGGGTCACAAATACGTTAAGGCTAGAAGTTGGAAAATTTTCTGTCAATCTGAGAAGTCTCAAACTAGGGAGAAGACAAAAAATGTACATTGTTTTATGGCGGTGCTTGGTAAGCCTGGAAGAGCACTACAGTGCTATACAAAATGTGAAATATCAGGAGAATGGAATTTAAGCTTGAGATACAAATCCTTACATATGAGAGAGGCTGAAATCTTCAGGGCATTTTGAAAGAAGACTGGCCTGCTAGTTTTTTCTGCACCATTTTTAAACCATCATGCTATGCTTCAGTACCTCTGCTGATCATGCAGCAGAACCAATGTGGGGGATTTTTCCTTCCTGTTCTCTGAATAACTTGGCTTCTGGGTGTATTTCATGCTTCACCTCCTCTGGAAGGGGTATAGACAGCATGCAGAACAATATGACTTGGTACTCCTGGTAGCACTGGTCTCTACAAGGTCAATGTGCCGTCTTCTTGTTCTCAAACTTAACCACCAGATTTGGAGTCACAGAGTTTTTTGGTTGGTCAGTTTGTCAGAGACACTTAGGACTTTTTGTCTTCCTTTGTGGTGCGGGACATGGTCTTCTTCCTAAGATCAGCTGGGAATTTTACCTATCAAATTCCTTCCTGTCGCAGGAACTGAGGACATTTATCTCCTACTCTCATGCTGTAGAAGCTTATAGTTGTGGGGTTTTGCTTGTTTGCTTGGGGTTTTTTTGTTTGTTTTTAACACTGCAGATCTTAAAGAGCACTAGAAAGGTTTTGTAATGTGTTGTACATGTGGATGGTCTGCAGTAGCTCTGGGCTAAATGTCTGCTGCATGTTCGTGACTTCCGTAGGCTTAATTCAATGAATGGTCCATATGATTCCTTCCAATCCCATACTCCACTGAAGTAAACTAAGACAATGAAGTTTTACATTGGGACAAGTTTCTCTAATAAACTCAAATAAAGCAAATATTTCTACCATTAATGCTGCAGTGACTCAGGTGGATTCAATGTATAACAACTAAATCATGAAGACAGGCACTACAGTGTTTGTTTAATGATTACAATTTTTAATTATGATTAAAAGCATCACCCACTGAAACTTTTTTAATCACTTAAACCAAGAACTCGATTTTTTAAAATAACGTTTAGTAAAATGTTTTAGAAACAAAGTTGCACTTTCATTTTTTTTTTTTTTAAACCAGTGTTTGAAAAATACTTATTTTCAGAAAGGCTGAAAAGTAACAGTAGGTAGTGGGAAAATGAAGTATTTAAATAGAATTACACAAACCTAGAATAAATCTAAATATTACTGATTATTATTAAGGCCCTTTTTATTTATAAAGATAATCTGCTTGATGGATGATATAAGAACATTTGTGCAGCCTATCAAAGAACAGTGCTGTGTATCTGATCACAAAATTAACAGATGTAAAAAATATCCGACTATGAAATTCCCATGGGGTCTGGTTCTACACTATCAAAATCAATGGGAATTTTACCATTAACCTCAATAAAATCAGTGCTGTATCCGTAAACACGCCAGGTTATCATCACTGACTAGACTTAGAATCACGTTTCTACTTGAATTTTTAAGATGGGACTAATAAGTCTTCCTACACCTAAGCATTTAAAATTAAATTAGATTTATAAATTAAAAACTGTTTCCTTTGAAACAAAATTGGATTTTGCTAACAAAAAAAGATAAGTCATTTTGCATAAAACACCGCCTAAAAATCAATGCAATACTTATTTTCTGTAAGTAATGTAAAGTTCTTAAGTGCCACTTGGGTAGATTCTCACTTTCTTGTACCTGTTAAGTGCACGTGAAATGTGGATGTTCTTGTCTGAACACAGAAAAATTTCGTTTCAAATGTTTTCCCTTCAAAACCCTTCTTGGTTTATTTGCCATTAAGAGCATTATCTTATAGGTTATATTTGTGTTGGATCTGTTGTGAAAAACTTACAGTGTAAACAGATGTACGATTCCAATTTTATTAAGACTATATATGCAATGAAATCTTTATGCAATAATTGATTGCTGCTTTGAGAAATAAAGAATGGTTTTAAGAGAACAGTTCTAACGCATCAGTGTTTTACCATTGATACAACTTAAAGGCTTTCCAATTTTTTTAGGCTCTAATTTCTGGGAAACCTATG